AAGAAAATATATGACTTCCTAATACTTTTCGACTATTAACATTTGTGTAGTTTGCTTGATATTTGAAGATTCAACAAAACTTATGTGCGGCCTTAAAACTTAGAATAGATACTAACTTTAAATGGAATTGCAAACTTTCTAAACCTGAGAGTGTCTTAGGTCCTAAGTACTGGAATCACTAGGGTCAACTAAAAGATTCGCTAATTCAAAAAGGTTCCTCGTCGTTTATTTTCTATTTGACATGATACATCAACGATCTAGAAATTTGGTAACCGAGTCAGCATCGCAGATTTCATGTACTTTATTTCGCTTAGCGAGCTAACGACATTGCCTACATGCGATGAAGATTATCAACATGACTGATGAATTTGGGCTAATTAGAAATCAGATGGACTCTGTGCAGGGAAAGAGATTCTATGCAAGTTAATTACTGGACAGAAGTGACATGCTTCAAAGGTTACATTTCATGTTTCTACGATGAAGTCCCAGCTGCATGCTCTCTTCGTTTGGCCTCGCCTAGGGAACATCTAGAATGGGCTGTCTCTCTGATGGCAGTAACCATAGCAACTACAAGTATGTGACCAATATCATTCGTCTTGCCTCCGTACCGACTTGCCCAAATAACTGCCCGCCCTAGTGAGACTCCTTCGGATGGTGACGCCAAGTTCCAATAGCGTCACTACAATCCGTACTGCTGTATCACAGAAAGTGGAGATCGGCAGATTTCCTCTCGTCATGGCGCCTATGCAAGACCTTATTTTGAGGCCCAACCTCCCGGACTTGTCGCTTGCATGGTTGTAAGGATTTCCAGTCGACGATGGTCGGTGTCGTGATCAGCGGTTTTTTCGGAGTCATTCTTTAGAAATGCTCGTTTTTGCCGTCCAGCTGGTCCTCAAATTATTGAAATCACTTCAGGGAGGCAATTTTGCTCTTCGAGTCCTTATTTTTAGAGCCACTTGAACTTTTGTCTCTCGTCTTATCTTGTGCGACCTGTTTGGGTGCTGGACCAGTCAGTCTAACGAAACTTGTGCGCCTGTTTTCTGCTTGCTAAGGAACTATAAAATGTCAGACTTCTTCTTTCTTTCATCCTGGAAGGTCTATCAGTATCCATCGCTAAAGCATCATTCAAACTGTTCACGTAAACTAACCATCATTTTGCCTGCTGACATATACTCATATAATTGAATTTTTGTTGCTATGTCAGAGCGAAATGCGAGAAGGTACAGACCGACAGATAAGGGCTCGGCCAATTTATTCGTCTTCGGACATCAGCATATGATATACCCTAAAAGCCTTTTGTGCTAGACTGACATCTTGGTACATCATGCTCTGACAACTCGATTGTACTGCTGACCCCCTCTCAGGCACATGACTTGTCTGATTCATCAATTCCATCTGCATGTCCTGCATTTCGCTCTATCCCTTTGGCAGTCTGGCTGGCTTTGCGATCATTACGTTCCATCCTATAACTCTCTCACCTTAACATCTCCGCCCGCCAACATGATGACACCCATTCTTTCGTTCATGTGTCGCTATATTTATTTAGCAATCTGTCTTCTTTCCATCCTTCCCCATTGCGTATCCAGGCCTTGTTTTATTCACTCAATTAGCTGCAGCTAATCCTCTATCGCCCTGTTTTTGCATCCATTTCCATGATTTTCAACGCCCATCTACTTGTCCAACTCGCATCATTCACTATTGTCTCCTTTCGCCTAAAGTCTCGAATTCACCCAAAGACACCATCAGATAATCCAGTTCCGTTAGGCAACATGGACATTCGTCTATTCCCCACCTTGGCAGTTCATCTCAGTTGTCCGTTAGCCTTCAACAGACGGCTTTTCCTCCGAACAGCTAGTTCAACCAACCTCTACGTCAGCTGGAAAATGGCGCACTCTACTCACTACCTCGTCTCTGGGTCGCCTCTTCTCTGCCTCTCCACTCCCACACTCGTTGCACGAACTCTTGCTGTCGCTGGCCGCGCACACCGACACCAAAGGGCACAGACATCGCAGCACCTTCCCTGCCAGTCTAGTGCTCATCTCGTCCCGACAGGAGAGCCGCATTGGCAGTCGAGTGGATGCCGAGGCCAGGACAAGAGACGACGCAATGTCCCCTCCTCGTCTGGCCGGGTGGTGCCATTTGCAGACGATTGGTGCTGGAAATTGAGGCCTGATACGTGTTGCGTTGTGGAGGCTGTACTCTCTGCTGTCGGTGTGCGGCCGTGTGTATGTACTTGTGTGTCTGTGCGTCGACGATGCTGTGTGCACGGGTGTACTAGACACTTTCAGACTGGGGTTTTTTTTCCTAAAATGCCAGACATGACGGATGCACGGTTGAAGCCAAGTTGCCCAAACTCACTGAGGACTGCCCATTGTGAGAGCTCCCTCTGGTTGGGCTGTCTCTTTCGCGTCGTCTGCAACCGGATGTATACCTACCGATTGACCTGTCCAGCTATCACATGTCTACCTGGCCAGCGTGGCTACCGATACCTGCTGGTGGTGGTGGTGGTGGTGGTGGTGGTGGTGTGGCTCCTCAATCAGCTTCTTCTTGTTGTGTTTATGTGTGCGTCTCTCAGGCTTGCGAATCTGCAGACCTGACAAAGTCCTCGCTCTCGGGGCACTCCAGCGAGGGCGAGAGGCTAGTGAAGCCGGAGTGAAAGGAGGCGAGGCACGAGAAGGAATGAGGGGCGGGACCAGACCGGGCAAATATGGCAGCAAGAAGCGGGCTTTGGTAGATCTGCATGATCTCCTGGCTTGCCAGGCCGAGCGCTCAACATGGGAGGCTGCTGTACCAGCGACACAGAGGCATTTCGACAGTCACTGTCCGTTTGGAGCCTCGCACTGTGGAACAGGTCTCGTGCACTGTTGCCTAACAAACTGCAGACTGGCCAGACAAATTATTCTTGATTGACACATAGTGCATAATATCAAAACTGAGGCATCGGTATGTAAGTGGCCGTTCGAGGCAATTTGCTAATCTGCTCGATTTGTCTGCCTCTCCGTATCTATGCCTTTTTGTACGGGCATATGTGTGTACGTATACATGTATGCATGCCTTCTTGTTTATTTATTTGTATGTATGTCGGAGCGTGTGAGTGTGTGTGAGAGTGCGTTTCTGAGTGGGTGGGAGCCGGAGGAAGAGGAATCCGAGATAAATGGAACATTATCAACAGACAACCGGCTAATTGCCCTGATGTAATTGGATTGAGTTAAAAATGCTGACGGTACAGTCGAAACAAGGTAAACGGGCAATTTTCGAGATAATGTGAAAAACTAAACTTTTCTGCATGTGACAACATACAAGCCTCAGTCACTGTGGTGCCGGTAGGAAGGGAAGAGATAGAGCCGACAAAATCTTCACTTGGCAGTCTGACAACGGATCCAACCAGTGAGGTTTTGCTTGGAAGTCAATGTTTCGATCGACCGCTTCCAGTGCTTTTTTTTCGAAACTGATAGTTGAATTTTCACAAAATGCAATAAGTAAGCCTCATCCGGGAGATAATCATGGGTCTAATCACACCTAAACAAGCTTATAAGCCGGCGTCGTGTATTACTAAACGGTTGTCGATACGCCAATTTCGCAACTGGCATTACCCACAAACGACTTGCTCATTTGTGATGAATTTAGGACTAATAGTGGGGACTTTCCCACACTGAAATGAGTGGATCCCAAGACTCTGTTAAACTACATTAGACCCAAAAAGTAATATATTTTTTAGTTAGGTATTACTGACAATTATGAATACTACTCACATGGAATATAAGTAACAATGTCGATTGCGACGGCAAATACATATTTTTCTTAACGACAATCACACTTTAAATATAATTTGGGAGAAGAATGGCTTGCATTGAAAGTCGCACCTGTTCTGTGAGCCAGTTACAGATGTGAGTGTGTAGGAGAGAAGTGATTTGTCTTCAGTATGCGCACACCATTTTTTTCGAATCCTAATGGGGTGATGATAATACCCAGACGAGATAGGAACTGAGGCCAGGCTGGATAAGGAAACATTTTGGGGGGGCAAGATTAAGCGAACTTCAATAACAGTGTGCGACCTATTCATTTAATTGTGAAATAATTCCACAATCAGACTTTAAATTGCCCTCAATGGCGTAGACTTAATAAGATGTATTCACCCTATTCTGTTTAAAATGATGAAGGACTAGTAGTTAAATTTCCCCAAAATTATATAAGTAGGCTTTAGGTTAGCTTTCACATTGATTTGCTTTCCAAAAGGTATTCTCGTATAGGTAGGGGTGGACTCATCTAGGTCTCATCAGCACCCTTAATTGGACTATAATCTCGTATAATCTCTACATGTTAACCACTACGCCATATTGCCACAAGTGGCAGATGTGAATTTTAAGAAGGGTCAGGCATTTTTAGATATCACAATATGTGGTTGGAGTGTCTATAAAGCGATATATTACACCTATACTTTTCACTTATAAGTAGGTTTTCGAGACTTACGAAATAGGGTGAATACATCTCATATATATGATCTACTGGTAGTCTCGAAAACCTACCTATAAA